GAGATAATGAATGTATGATGCAAATGTGCAAATTTATGTGATGTGTATGTTTATGTTGATGAATATTTTCTTGATCTGTGATGTGAATGGTTGCATGAGCAGTCATCATTCTATCCCTGATTTGGTTGTCTTCACTTTTTGTTTGCTCCAGTGTGCACTCTTGCACTTCTTGACTTGTGTCGATTTCTTCTTGCCCCAACAAATTATTGCCCCTGATAAAAATTGGCTTCCTTTGTCTAGACTTATATAGAAATCCAATAGAGCTTCCCTTATGATACCATTATCATCCCTGCCAGATAGTTTGAAAAGAGAATCTATCATTTTAAGCTTTGGAGATTGTGCACGCACAGCTGCCCTGTAGCGGGAAATCAAAGACCACAGCCTAGAGCTAGCCACCGCAGTAATTGATGGAATATCAGACTGCCCCGAATAACCATGAGACACATCTATGCCAAGGATGATAGTTGGACCCTTAGAAACAACTATAATTAAAAGTGTTTACTCAATTGCTAACATCAAATTCATTCCTCCAAGCTTTGCATTGATTTTTAGAAGCAAATTCATAAGGTATTGATCATTGAACCTAGTTAGAGCCATACACTGTGTCACTATGCCAAACTCGACAAGATTCATAAAGATCATAATTTTTCTTATAAGGTAAAACACAAAGGAGGAACTGTGGAGCTTCAGGAAGTTCAGATTGGGTTTCCTTGATTATTTTTTCAAATTCTTTCAAGAAGATAATAGTTTTTGCTCTGATTGGGCGCTTGACTCGCCTTGAATAGAGGATCCATCTGAATTGAATCCCGAATGAGGCTATTTGTATTACATCGTGTTGAAAAGTTAACGATAGCCCATCGTTCAATCTTAATTGGTTCCACTAGTTTCTTGCTTAAGATTTCATTGCTCATTCCACCGCAAAAAATTTACGTCGCTTTTAACTTTGGTACATGAAGAAAATGACCTTCCACTTGAGTGAAATTTGAATTTAAAAACCCATATGATCGAATCATTAGTTCAGTGCCATAGTTACTGGTTCGTAAAACATTCTACAACTTATTCATCCTTTCCTATGGCTTCTGCCTAGATTTTTCAACCAGAGAAGCTCTTTGCATGGTGTTTCAGAGCTTTTGTATAGCGTTGCGAGGACACCAAAGAGTAAAGCTCAATGGGAATATAAGTGAGATACTTTGGCTTGTCAGCATTAATGCATGAGAAATCACTAAAATAATGCAAATGTATGTTGTGATGATAGACAAAACAATCATGTACAACGAGCTCCACTATCTCTACTTTTCCATTTTCAGTCTTCGTGCCTTTTTGTCTTATTAAAAAAATAAATTTATGCTCAATTCAATGATTTTGTATTCCTGGATGATATGAGCCTTCAAAAATGCCCCAAACATTTATTATTTCTTGCTCCAGCACTGATTCTAAGTTGAGCTTTGTGTTTAAGAGCTATGTGTCAACTAACAAGATCTACTCCGGAGAGATTGTCTTGTTTGAAAATGTTTTTGTTCTTATTTTATTTTCAAAAATTTGATAAATATCAATTAATAGAATTTTGAAAAATGTTTAATAAAAAATTTTGAAAAAATATTATCCCTTTCTAGGTTTCACAATTAACACAAATCATAAAACAAGAGTTCATTGGATATCAAAGAATTAATTACACTTTTATTCCTTCAAAAAATTATAGCTATTTGACAAGTGTCAAGATTAATGCTAGTTTTGAGGTAAGGTTAAGTAAGGAAAGGATAAGATGTCTCGGGTTGTTGTCTTTGGTTAAAGGTTTGGCATTCTTATTTCTTTGATGTTCACTAATCTGATGGAGTAGCTTCTGTGCTTATATACTGGAAGTGTTCTCCGACTTTCAGCTCTCATGGGCACATTTGGGTTGTGTGATGTCTTGTCAAGGGATTTGTGAAATCACCTCATATACAACAACAGTACGATCTTTCATATTTGAGCCGTCTTTTCAAGTTTTCAACTCGAATCCTCCTTTGGTTTCAAGACGTTATTCAAAATTTATATCTTGAACCCTCTTTGTCATTTTTTATCATGCATTACAGATTTTAGAAAACCTTTTGTGAATAAAAGATTAATCCTGACGGGCGGGATGAAATCTAAAGATAATATCTTCTGTTTACATCCATGTATGATTAGAAGGGATTTTTAAGGCACATAATGTAGACTATGGTTCATGGTTATGAAAGAAAGGGATAAATTGACCCAAACAAGTGTTTAAGGGTAATTGAACCAAGGATCAATTCATTCTGATGCCTTCAATCTTGTCTTGTTCCATTTAAGTCTGCTCGTATGTCTTTTATTTTCTTATTGTTCTATGGTCTTTGGTGAATTGATTCTTGAATGATTGTACTTGATCAATCTTATGGTTTGAAGTTCAATGTGTCATTTGACTTGAGGGACTCTTTGCATGTACTTCTTTTATTCTTTTTCTCTTTTTCTTTTTCTTTGTTTTTTGCTTTGTTTTCTCATTTGGTTTTTCCTCTTTGCTTTGATTTGATCTTTGCAATGTGCATTTAGTTCACCTTTTGGTATCTTATCTAGATAGATGGTCTTCACTCATGTGAGTAGGTTTTCGTTACCTTGCCCCCCAATGTGGAGAGTGATCCTTGGTTAGGGTTGAATAAAAAAAATTCAGGCTCAATTGAGAAGAGGTATTCCTCAGGGGATAGATTTTCAGGATTAATTTTATTCACATAAAAACAATGTAATTAATGCATGATAAAATTATTTTTAATTAATTTCCTCTTTTTTATTCTTCATGTTTCTAACATGTCTCAATTGTTTAGGCTCATCTTTAGGAAGTTGATTCGAGACATCACACACTGTTTATTCTTGTAGGAAGGTTCACGTTCAAATGAACATCTTGTACTCAATGCTTTCAGGTTTTAGTGGTAGAAAAATGTCGGTTTTGCGTCCAGGGAGACGATGGTGTGACTTTATTGGCTCAACGAAAGGTAAGAGTATGGCATTTTATGTCTCAAAAAGATAAATGCAATATTTCAAAGTCTCGAAGAGAGGTAATGTCAAAATTTAATCTTTTGGTAGTGACCATGAGTTACTTCGGGTAAAGAATCGGGAGGTTTTATTTTTGGTTTAGATGGTATAAGAAAGGTCTAATCTTGCAAAAAAATCTATAATTATTGAAGAACTATAAGAATCTGTAATTCATTCGATATTCGAAGAACTACAAGATTAAAACTTGTTCAATTATTCAATCTTAGAAGGTAACATAAAATCAATCATTAAAAGATTAAAAATATTTAAGCAAATTTAAAGACAAAACAACAAACGAGTTTAGACAAAACAACAAACGAGTTCAAACAAAACAACACTCTTAATGCAATTGTAAAAAAGCTTCTTGGTAGATGCAAAGATCTTTCTTGATGCCCCCATCATTATTCGAATGTTCATGCCCTTGAATCAATCAAATTCTGGACCTTGCACTTCACTACTTTACAGTTCTCAATAGAATGCCATGTACTTTCTATGTAATAGCTACATATGGCATCAACATCATAACCTTCAGGATATGGAGCCTCTTTTGGCCTTTGGGAAGTTTCTAAGGTGAAATAGTTAGTTGTGGGGCATGTATCATCACACGTTAAGAGGTTTCCTAGGATGAAAAGGCTTGTTTTTTGCCTTTTTCCTGATTGGGCCCAGCCAATTTCCCCATCTCGTTGCATTCTCTGTAAATTCTCTTACAATTCTTCCTTCAATTTTTCGAGATTTGCTTCCATTATGTCATGTGATTAAGGCCACTTCCATTGCATTCTCCATGAATTGATCCCCATGTTTTCATAAATGATGCAAGTGAAAATGTTTAAATAAATGCAGTGCAAAATGCAAAATAGAAAATGAAAAAAATATCGATTTCCAAAAGTAACCATTCTTAGAAAGAGTTTCATTCATTCAAAAGAGTTTTCATCATTACAAGAGAGATCAATCTACAAATACGATTTGGCCCTTTTATTTAGATCCACGATTTCAGTCATGATCCCAACAACTTTCTCTTCATACTCAGATGATAAACTAGTGTGAAGTATAATGACTTCAACCATGTTGGCTAGCTCTTGTTCAAATGGTTCTCTTCCAGGAAAGATATAAATCACATGTTCTCTTCTTGTAATAGTCTCCATAGAATGTGATTTCAGATTTACTCAAGCCGCTCATAACTGGGACAAATTGGTGTTGTATACTGTCTGAGGACTATTAACGGGGCATAGTTGACTTCTCCCTATAATCTCAGAAACAGGACGTAGTCGAGATCTCGATATCTGAATAAAATATCAGTATACTCTAGTCAAGTAACACACCAAGCGATGCCTTGGTCTGGTAAATTACTGAAGGCTGATATCCATCTTCTCCTTGGCAACCCATCTGGCCACTCCTTGCTAAGAAATTCTATCAAATGAGAGTACATGGTGAAGAAACAATGATAAGACACTTTCTATTTTTCCAGAAATGATTACGAATCCAGACGGTGAGTAGTTGGGTGCAACCTATGAATCAACCTCCCTCCAATCTATGAAAATTATTTAAGGATCGAAAGGTCTCTGCCAAAACAACCAGTACATGATTTATACATCTCTTCAATTTGTCAAAGAAATCTACAATAGCAGCCTCCATGTGGAACAAAGTCTTTGGGAATATCACCTGACCATATATAGCCAGAGCAAATGTGTCTAATCTCTTATCTTCATCTATGTGCACGAGTATCACATTCTTGAGACAATGCCATGAAAAACATTCATTTTCTCCCTTTTGTTGGATGTGCTCTACTATCCAATTTTCACCTCTACCAGTAATCCTCACAAGTTTGTTTTTGAAGGATCGGACTTTCGGAGGTTTGAAATAAATTCTATCTACCTGGCGGCTCTCGAAGTTAAATAGAGTTGTACACTTTCTATTGTTGGCGTCAAATCTTGTCTATTGAATGTGAAGTAGTTGTAAGCAGGATTCCAGAATCAGACCAAAGCTTTAAGCAAAGGTTCCTCTATCTTTACATAAAGGAGGTAGGCTATATTGTCATATTTCTTGTGAAGCTTCTCCTTGGTAGCTACTCTCCAACTCTCCCAAATCTCTATAAGCTCTTGTAGATCATTCTGCTCGAAATTGACATTAACATCTGTGGACATCTGTGATACATAATCCCAGGCAAATTGTCTCCTTTTACTTTTTGTAAATCTTCAGACCAAACTCGGACAACCGGATTAGGTTCTTCCTTGTCATGAAAACTATTTTCCATCTTAATGATCACTCTTCTACTCTGATGATAAATTGGTTAATCAACATCTTTCTTTTATTTATGATAATCATGCAATGCCAAACAATAAACAATCAAACATAGAAAATGTGTCAGTATAAAATAATTCAAATATCAAGAAAATATTATTGAAAGATAATTAAAACATCCTCCCACATGTTTTCTACCCTTATTATGTTAAATCCTACCCAAAACATGCTTTGATCGAAAATAAAACCTAACTACATGTTTTTCTAGTTCACATGGTTTATTCAGAAAGTAAAATAATACGTGGAAAGAAGAGAGACTTAGTTTCATTTCTTCTTTGTGTACACTTATTCGGGTACCTAACAACGGACAGAGTTTCGACATGAATTTTATTGGGGTGTGTTACTAGGGCTCACTATATGCGGTATTGGGTTCTAAGAAAAAAGGTACTCGAATTGTCCATGTTGGTGCCTCCTTAGGCTGCCAAACCCTCAATCATGACCAATTATAGGCTCGTGCAGATCGAGTTCAATTCAAGAGGATACAATCCCTTGTGTCCATGCGAAGAAACAATTTATCTCATGTAAACATAAGGTATATGAACCCCAAAGGTTACTTACTAAAACCCGTGTTGAGAAACAAATTATCTCACGTATGCTAAGCTTTCACCTCAACTTAAAAGGGACAAAGCTCGTAAGTGAGCTTATGGTATATAAATGCACGTGTTGTGTATGAAGAGAAACTCGCAAACCTTTAAAAACGCGACAAAAGACAACACTTTCACAAGTTCCAAAAATCTATTCAAATCTGAAGACCACTGAAATAAAAAATCAATTAGTTAAAAATAGAATAATGCATGATATGTTAAAACTCAAAATAAACAAAATGATCATAAATTAAATACAATTTAAGTTTGTAATTCCCAAGAATAAAAACAACGTATAATCGTTTATGACCTGACTCTCTAAGTCCCAAGCGGAGTCGCCAAGCTGTCATAACATCTTCTTCGGGGATTCGTTATACTTAAAAATTTAATTTGAGGAAAGACGATGAAAATTAGGTTTGAAACAATTTGATTTTGGAGTCGCCATCAACCTTTAAGTTAGGTAGGTTGAATACCTAAAAATTCATCTTAATGAGTTCAGAAAAATCATTAAAAGACGAAGAAAATGATATGTGTTTTACCAAAAATTCATTTTAAGACTTCGGGAGTCGATTACGCATGAGGAAGGGTGAGCACCCTCACAACGCACAAGTTTGGTACCTAAACAATTGTATGATGTTTAATTGTTAGGAAATTAAAAACTCGAAAATATATTTAAATTATAATCATTCTATTCATTCGAATTTATTTAAAAGATGTCAATTTTCAAAAAACTAAAACAATGTTGCTTTTACAAATAAGGAAATAAAAATTTGATGGCAAATGATAAATGCAGTGGGTACAAAAAAATTAAAGAGCCCAAAATATATTTTATAGAATAAATCTGTTTATTTAACCCCAAAAATTATAATTCTTTTTATTAGAGAAATCACATCATTTTGTACGAACAATCCTTTAAAAATACATTTCCTTTATAGTTAGGAGTTTTTTTTTCATGAATTCCCCTCACAAAATGGTATTTCTTTAATTTTATGGATGATATAATTTAAAAGAGTATAGTATTATATTAAATTTTTAGAAATGTTCGGATAAAAGAATGTTTTTTGTGCGAACAATCCTTAGGACTGCACTTCCTTTGCAGTTAGAAGACTTTTCCATAGATTCCCCTCACAAAAAGACATTGCCTTATATTTTAATTATATCAAAGATGGAAATAAAATAAAATGAAATGAAATAAGATAAAATAAAATAAAATAATAAGATAAAAATAAAACAAAAAAGATTATTTATAAAAAAAATAAAGTTTGAATAATAATAATATAGATATGAAGATATGCGCATAAAATGGTAACAATAATAAAGATGACCAAGTTCGATTTCGAATCTAAAATATGAGTCAAACATCGGTAACCTACTAGCATAAACAAAGGACCAACATGCAAACTCTATAAACCAACAACCAAGATTAAAATACAATCCAAATAAGAAGATAAATAAATAAGGTTAAAACGTAAATAGTGAAAAGTATAGGCATTAGGAATAAATATACCAAAGGCAATATTAGTGACCAAAATAAAATGAAGTGTAAGTTAAGATGCTTAGAATGAAAATAAAAAATTAAATGCCCGAAATTAAGAGGGGCTAAAATAAAATACAAGAAAATTAAAGAGCAAAAATATAAAATACTGGAATTTAAAGTGCGGGATAAATAAATAAAATAAAAAGGAAATAAACTGCATAAATTTTAAAGTTAGGGGTTGTTTTTAACCGTTTAACCCGGACCATATATAATGTGAATCGTCCCCCAGGGTGATCACCGCAAGGTCGTTGAATATTCGAATGTTAGAAAATTAGCAAGTTAGTTTGTACAATAAAATAAAATGTTAGTAAGTTAGTAAAAACAATAAAAATAAAATGGTCAGTATGTTAGTATAAACAATAAAATAAAAGTTAGAATGTTAATAAGTTAGTAAGAACAATAAAAATAAAAAATTAGAATGTTAGTATGAACAATAAAATAAAATTTGGAATGTTAGTAAGTTAGAAAAATTAGCGGTTAGTGGTTAGGAGGGTCCGAACCATAATAATGTAGATCATAGCCTATATCGGGTCACCACGAGGTGGAATCGAATAATTCAAATAAATATATAAAAATAAAATAAAATAAAATAAAAAGGTTAGTGGCAGAATCCGAAACATAATAATGTGGATTATACCCGGATCGAGTCACCACAAAGTCGAATAAAATATTATAAACAATAAATAAATAAATAACAGTGGTTAAAGTGTAATAAAATAAAAGTTAGTAGTCAATAAAATAAAAGTTAGTAGTCAACTTGAAATAAATAACATAACATAATATTGACCAAATTAAAAGTTAGTAAAATCTGCATGCAATTTCAAAATAAATAAGAAATAAGTGACGAAAGTGCAACAAGGGCTAAAATTCAAGGACATACATGTGATTTTCCCCTGATAGTGACCAATGCGTAAATCACGCTGAAACTGAGAGGACTTATGGGAGATTTTCCCCTAAATGTAGTGACCAGAACGTGATGTAGAGCTAAAATCTAGGGGCCTATGCGTGATTAATCCAAAACTTGAAAATAGACAACTTCCCCCCCAAGAAATTACGTGAAACCCCAGCCCCCTTTCTTCCCTAAGCCAAACGGCGCTGCACGTAAACCCCACGGCCACAAGACGCCGGCCACCAAGAAACGGTGACCCTACCTCTCAGAACCGACGACCGAAGCACGGATAGTCGAAGAGACTCCCAAAACAACCTACTCCCCGTTTCCTCTTCTCTTTTCTTTTCTCGGCCTACGAGGCCATGGTTTCATCGCCGCCATAATTTGGCGTTAACCCTCACCGACCACCCCCAATGGTGGCCAACGACAAACAAACAAACCAAAAACAAAGAAAAAAAAATACCACAACATCCTACCCACTCTCTAAAACGAAACTCAAAACAAACCTATTTACAACGATGGCCGAACGGCCACCACCTACCGACCTCTGCCTATAACGTCAACGAGGGCTGACCTCCAACGACCGACTACTCACCACTCTTCCCTCTCATTATGTTAATGCTAAGAAAAAAGTAAAAAAACAACATGGAAAATAAAAAGAAACTGAAGAAAAGAGAGAGCTTTTTTCTTTCTGGTTTACAGGGGGCGAAATCTGCTTGCTTTTTTGGCCTTTAAAGCTCCCAAAATTAAAAAAAGTACAATTGCAAGTTTGGTCTTTTCATTTTATTTCCATTTTAACTTTAGGATAAAATTAGGGTATTACATAGGCGAACACATATTCACGTTCCACGGCTTTAGGTAATTCCCGTTCACTGAATCTTGACGGCTGAAGTTCATCATTGGCATCGGTAAAGAGCGTTTTCTTAGCTATCTGGCTTACGGTGTTCTTCACTGTATTCCTCAAATTCTCTTATAAATGCCTCAAATCAATAGCTTGGCAAAGTGCCACATAGTTGAGTTATTGTTCTGTTAAACGGTTAACTAGCATTTATTGCTTGTGAATACATATTTATAGCTATAATGATTGATTAGCTATTTTGTATTTTAAACGGGTATATGTTGCTGTTATTACTGCAATAAAGCATTTGTTTTAATGATTCCTTTATTAAGGTGTAAAGAATTTATAGCTTTTTAATAGCTATTTAAAGTCATTAAAACAGTAAATAGAGAAAAATTGATTCTCTTGAGAAGAGCATCCTTTCGTTTATGTGGAGATATGAAATTATTTATTCTCAAGTGAGGGTAACATTATACAGTTCTTGAAAATTAAGGTGAAATAATTATAAATATTTTTACCGTATTAATAATTTTCTTTGAGAAATTTGTAAAGATACAGGAAATGTGTAATATTTGGAGAAATATGGAGCTGGTAAAGCTGAAATAAGAAGATTCTCCAAAATCGAATAGTTGTTAAATTTGATTTGATTTCCACAATCTCTTGAAGATAAGAAACCAAAATCCTAAAGATAGGGATCTTGTCACTATCAAATTATTGTTAGTAAATTAATTTCGTGACTAACCATGTATATTCTTCATTTGACTTCAGAAGATTCAAAAAGAGATGGTGGTTCAGATAAAGAGATTGTCACGATGGATTTTGGGATCATGCTAATTAAAAATGATGATGCAAAGAATGAAATTGTATGCATGGTGAACAAGTCTATTTGGAATTGTGATTTTACCTGCGAGGTCAGATTGTTTAGACTTGTTGTCTGTTAATTCATGCCTTTTAAATACATGAATTAGATTGCATGAGCCTTTAAGATAGTCTTTAAAACTCAGTGGATACTATGAAATGAGATAAAACCACTAGTAAAGACTAAGGTAGTACTATTAAGGCTAAGGTGGTAGTGTGAGCCAAAAAATATATATGCTTAATAAGATACTATTTTGATTAAAAGTGTCAAGCATAATTCTTTAAGTAACTTTAAGGAAGAGAAAATCTATAAATGATTTATTGGAAACTAGTGTGATGAGTATGAAAGTGCATGTCTAGGATTGGTTCTATGGAGACTTGGTACTTAAGTGTGCCTAGTGCACCACCTCTCTTTCATAGAAACCTACATGGTGCATTGTTCATTACTATGCTCACTATTCCAATACTATGACAAGATAAAAACTTTAAAACTTAGTGCAGAAGTTAAAAGAGTATAAATTAATTTGGTTGAATGGAATACCAAATTTAGTCATAGTAAATAAAATATATGATGATCTCTTTAAGGTTAATATGTTGAATATCATGAATGAGAATATGATAGACTCTATTGCTACTAAAAGTGTGTTGTAGAAATTAAATCTCTTTAAGTGATTTTCCTAAGTAGATGAAAGAAAAGAGATTATCTATTTCAAAATTTGTGCTAAAATCTCTTGTCTTAAACTTGAGATCATTTTTCCTGATGTTAGGAAAAAAATTGAAATTCATTTTGAATGAGGAAAAGTCATAAAGAATTTCATATTGGTTTATGCATTTTAATCTTAATGATTTACAACTTCTCAAAACTTTGAGAATATAATTATGTGTAAACAAAATTTGAGTTTGTTAAAATATAGTCTTATGGCTAAAACTCATAACAAACTTTACTTTAGTATGATTGAGTATTTGTTTACACGTTTTACAAGACACTTATGGATATTCTAAAATGTTAGAAATGTGGGGTTGTCTTAAAATGTAGATTAAATGCAGAAACTCAAATAGAAAATATTTTATCCAATTCTTCTAGTATTCTTGCTAGGTCTTTTCAAGAAATTGATTTCGAACCTAGAAGAAGCAAAAGGCTATATGAACCAAATTTTATCACTTCCTTTATTTCTGAGATAAATAATTTAGACTCTTTTTCTGATCATATAGCTTAAATATTATATGAGGATCCTAAAAAAGCTATAAGATCTATCGATGCTATTTTCTAGAAAAGCGCTATCAATGATGAACTAGAATCGGTAATGTCTAATCATACTTAGGAATTAGTTGACTTGCCTAGAGGATTTAAACCAATATGTAGAAAATGAATCTTCTGGAAGAAAATGAGACCAGATGGTTTGATCTAGTGGTACAAGGCAAGCCTAGTTGTCAAAGGGTTCACTCAAAAGTTTGTTTTAGACTACTTTGATTCTTACTCTCCTGTTATGAACATCTCAACGATCCGTGCATTATTTGCAGTAGCCTCCATTCATAAGGTGAGAGTACATCAAATGGATGTTAAGACTGCATTTCTGAATGGAGATCTAGATGAGGAGATCTATATGGTAATAATGATACAAGAAATTTCATAAAACTATACTTAGTTTTGGTTTTGTTGTGAATGGTTCGGATGCTTGTATGTATTCGAGGATGTTTGGTACTGATTATGTCATCATAAGTTTTTTATGTTGATGACATGTTGATTTTCAGTTCTAACATTGAGTCCATTAACAAAACAAACAGTTTCTTGTCCACTAAATTTGAAATAATAGAGTTGGGAGAATTCAATGCAATCTTAGGAGTCAAAATTACCAAAACTGAAAAAGGGATTTTCTTTAAGTCAAGCACACTATCATGAGAAAGTGTTAAAGAAACTTGACAGTTTTGATGTCGTCCCTGTTCGAACCCTTGTGACCCTAACATATATCTCTTTAAAAATAAAATAATAGCGTTTCCCAAACATAATATACTAAATTAATCGGAATCTTAATGTTCTTAATTAACTATACTCGGCTTGATATTGCTTATGCTGTGAGTAGACTAAGTAGATATACTCATAATCTGAGTGGTGAACAATGGATTGCTCTTAGATACTTATTGAAGTATCTTAAGGGTACTTTGGATTGGAAAATTGAGTTTGTTGGCTATCCTGTGGTACTGAAAGGATGTTGTGATACCAACTGGGTTTCTGATAATGATGAGGTAAGCTCTATGAATGGGTATGTTTTTACTTTAGGTGGAGCAACAATCTCGTGGAAATCATCAAAGCAGACTTGTATTGCTCGTTCTACCATGGAGTCAGAGTTTATAGCTCTTGACCTAGCTAGGCAAGATGCTGAGTGGCTTAGAATCTTGTTAGTATATATTCTGTTATGGGGAAGACCGACTCTTCTGATTTCTTTGTTGTGTGATTCGCAAGCTACAATATGTGTACAATGGTAAGAAAAGACACATTCGCATAAGGCATGAATCAATTAGACACTTAATAAAAAATGGAGTGCTCTCTTTAGAGTATGTGAAGTCAGAAAGGAACCTAGCAGATCCTTAGTCCTAGATTCATCGAGGGGGATGGGTCTAAAGCTCATTGGTTGAGGAATTCATGGTGGATACCCAACTTTGTTATCTATGTTCCATGTGGTCAAACGAAACCATGAAAAGACTCATAGTGCACATTCCTACTGCCTATCCCTATGATGAATAATGCGCATGCGCATGATGAGCTTAATTACTCTTAATAAATTCATAGCCTAGGCTTTTGGGTAGTTTTAGTGAGAAATACTTGATAAATTTACTGATTTTGGCTGAATATATATTCTTAATAAGTTCATAACCCAGAGTGAGTGGTAGTCCTAAATGAGAATGAAATAACGAACTTACCAACAGAAAGATTGAGTTTGTTAAATTCTTAATAAATTCAAATCCAAGTATTTGGATGGTTCTAGTGAGAATGACTTATTGAATTTATCGATTAACGAGGTTGAATATTTATTCTTAATGACTTCTTATCCCAGAGTTTGGGTGGTTCATTAATAATGAACTTAAAGAAAGTCACCATACCCTTTGTGAGTTTGAGCTATTATAAAAGCTCTTAATTATTTCATATCCCTGTAGAAGGGTGGTTTAGGTCGAGATAAACTTAATGAAATAACCAATGTGAGTGAGAAGGGTTAGCCGCCTTCTATGAAAAATATTGGGCTGTTTTTCTAGCACACTTACTAGAATCCTGAGACAAGATGGCCAAATATATACTTTTGTATATATATATATCTTACACATTGCAGACTCAGGTGGATGAAGGAGTTAGTTGTGTGTTATGAGTTAACCACATCTTAGAAAGTTCAAGACTAGTTTCACTTATCTAAGAGAATGATTGCTCATCATCACTATGTACTAGTTCCAAATACGTTCACTAGTGCTTAAGCAACTAATATCACTATTGTTCTTCTGGAAAGATTGTTTTCGAGTTTCAAAAGAATTCTTTCGCATTAGTGGGGGAATGTTGGTAATGCTCAATCCCACATAGAGTTGGAAACACTAGTGGGAATGGTATTTAAGGTTCACGTTCTCCATTCCCTTGTTGAGTGATAGAGAACAAGGCATGGTAATACGTGTCTTTGACACGTTTGTAAGAATACTATCTTTTTAGAGAGAATTCGTAAGTAATTTTTCTCTGAAAGATTACATGAAAAATGTGAAAGATTCATCTGATATTTATAGGCTACTGAGATTGTTAAAGTTCAAATATTTCAGATGATAACAACTGATTATTAGTTGTCTGAAATTAAATAAATTAAACAGTTACTTTCCTAAATTAAATCAGAACTTAAGATGTATCTGAACCGATTTCCAGCTTTGTTCATGGGAGAGACAAGCTGTTAATATCAAGAGTTACCTGATTTAATTTCAGGAGTTATAACTGTTGAGTTTTTATGCAATGAACCTGGACTCTTTTTGAGATGAATTCATCAAGATATTTCAGGAGTTACAAAAGGGTTTAAATTTAGAATTAAAATCAAATTCAATTTGATTTTATTGTTGGACAAATTTACCCTTATTTCTAGAGTATAAATAGAGAGATGAATTCAGCTTCTCAACTTACATTCTCTACAATTAGAATTCACTCTCCAA